AAGTGTTTAAGTAGCAGGGATTCAAAAGTAGGAAATTTAAAAAGCAATAAACTGTATAGTAGGGGTTCAAAAATTGAGAAATTTCAAAAGTGCTAAACTGAACAAATGGGGTTCAAAACTCAAAACTTTGCAAATATTATCAGAAAAAGATTGTATGAAATTCTTTTATAATTTAAAAGATCACATGAACAGTTCTAATTAATAATTCAAAAAGAAAATCTTTTTGAACTTTTCAAAGGATCTAAAGCATACTTTTTCAGTTAGCTTGATCACCGTTTGACCTGTGGATTAATCAAGTGGACATGTGTTTTCTTGTATTGATAGATATTGATTTGTGCAAGTAGACTCCCGAATGGTTCATGACCATCCAATGGCTAATGAATGTTTAGATTAAGGTTTTGATTTCATTAGTATAATAGTATAATTCTATCATGTGAATTGTATTTTGCATGCAGCTGAACAACTCCGTCATGTGTAACTACATCATGTGTTGATATTACTTACAATACACCATATTCTCTACCTACCAGTATACAGTTATAAGGATGAGCCCCGAGGGATCAACTGGCGCTGAATTATCTAGCGGGCTTGCATCCTCTCGTCAGCAGGTCTCCTACGAAAGACCACTACATCCCCACAATGCTAATTGTGCCTGACATCAACCCACTCATTGTTCTGGAATTCCCGTCACCAAACACTGTCAAAGCCACTTCTACACCAGTAACTCCATTATGAAACTCACTGATTGCTTATTCTGAAAAGTACTTAGTCTAAGCACACCAATAATTGTTTATCTCCCCCATGAATCTTTATAACCTATCTCCATGAATGCTGTAACCACTGATTATACTGAACTTGCTTAATGCATCGAAACTCTCCAAGGTTTCCAGGAAAATATACACAACATAGCTATTAATGTACCTTTAATTTTCATCCACATTCACTTTCCACATGAATGCCAAAGAATGACGTTCTGCAAACTTTCCGGGCACATACACACATTGTAACTGTTAATATGGCTTATCGATGTCCCTGGCCGTCTTCCACATGATTGGAAAAGATCCTGACAAGGTCAATACTACCACTATATCTTGCAGCAGGCAAGGTTATTACCTATTCTCAGAGAGAGCAATTTATTTACCATATATAGTCACTTCACGTCCTAATTTGTTATACTCGGACAAGAATTGTTCGTAATGAAGCCACCTCATGACTCCAACTTATCTTGAAATGTTTTGCCATTTCAGGTCACATTCATCTCGAGTCTCTTTAGCTAGTAGGTCTGTATAGACAAGAGTTTTGCTGATTTTGCTAAGATATGGAAATTCACAGATAGTGAATACCTGGTCAATGTCATGTGTATTTCTGCTTCCTGTGTGGCTTTCAACATTAATTATCTACATTTCAGCACATTCTTCCTGAATTTTCTTTTGAGCTCAGAAATCATAGATCTGTTATCATCCTACTATAGGTAATGAATGTCACTGGTCATGGCATGCATTCTCCTGTATATATACTCTCCTTCTGTGAACTCTACTTTGAACTCTCCATCCTTGTAAACAGTTTGAATAAAGCTCTGAAGAGGTTGAAGATTGTGCTAGAATACATATACTCCGATGTGGTTTGTCATCAGGCACATTCAGTTATGTACATATTATATTGACAAGATACATTGTACCTATTTCTGACTCATTTTTCTCTCAATGTAAACAGGAATTTAAAAAAAGATATTTGAGACAAAGCCATACGCAATATATAGATCTGGTACAATGATTCATGTCTTCTCTGTTATCACTACGGTGATCCAGAGTTCAAAGTTCGGAGGAAGCATTGGTAAAGTGTCGTTCCATAACATTATTCGTCTACTTCTTATTTTTTGTACCAAAGAGCTTGCTGAATGCTCTGTACTGATCACAAGTTCATTATTCTCAAATTCTTTTGAATCTATTACTGGATGATGTGTTGAGGAAGTACAGGAAGTGTAAAGAGTTTTATAACTTTGTGACATATCCTGTTTCAATTATAGGGCTGTATTTTATCAGTAATATATATCATAACATAAATGTCATATAGCCCAGAGAAATGAAAGGGATCTATAAACCTGACACAACTACATGCATGTTGATCTGGTCTAGAATCAGAGAAACTCCTAGCCCAAGGCCAAAACATTGTATTATATCAAAGCTTGAGGATATATAAGACGGCTACAATAACTTGTGGATTGCCTGTAGCCTGACTTTGGAATGTGATACAGTTACTAATTAATTATACTCGTGCACCAACAAGTGTCAAATGTATAGGAAGTGTTTAGGTATCACAGCTCTAACTTCCAATACACATCAAAGAAACACCCTGCACGCTGCAACCCCAGCGTTGTGTTGCGACTCTAGTGCAGGCAAATATCAGGCAGATCAGACACAGGCTAATGAATCGGGTCAACGAGCACGCAAATAATACTGACAAATTGGGATACATTGTTGGTAATTGCTGTTTGATTGAGTGTAGTACAGGCAATCTCAGTAGATTTGGATATCAGAGTACATGTTATGTATGTTACCACATGATTTGGTTTGGTGTACTATGAAGTCAGAAATACTGTCATAGTTTTCAATATTTAGAGGGTTTTTATCTTTTATATTTTTTGCATTTCTGAGGGTGGAATAGACCAAAAAATTGATGCAACACCCTCCCCACCCCCATCCCCCCCCTTCAAAAAAACGGTCAATTCAATTCAATTAAAAATAGGAGCCACTGAAAAATCTACTATACAGTATCTAAATGTCAACAGGCAATGAACTGAATTAGGACAATCTGTTGACTCTTTGCACCCAGGAGAACTATACATGGAATCAGAGGAGATCATGTGACTTTTATCTCATACTGTTTGGATTTACAGGAACAATGTTTATATAGATTTAAAGTGCGTTCAATAGATTAGTAAACAGACCAAAGATAGATTGCTCAGCTTGTAATCCACAAAAACATCACAGGATACCTTTATATATACAAGAATTCCTCAGCTCAGTAGGTAGCCCCTTGTTAAGTGTGACCAGATCATATGATCTGCTTATTATAATGATAAATCGTTTAGACTAAAGACCTACTATCTTGTTTTGACCTGAGATCTTCCATGTTTTTAGGGTAGTGAACTGGCGAGTCCAGTTGAGTAGAGTCCAACTCTGAAGAGATGGGAGACCCCAGATTTCAATGAGAGAGTTTTGTAACATAGATACCTGACTCATAGTGGGTGAAAAATACTGCTTTATATTGGCTAACCAAAGTATATCTACCTGACTGAAGTTTTTCCCAACTGGTTCAGATCAGCCTTGATGTTGGGTTATTACTTCGGGCAGAGCCAGATGTTTGTATCCATGTTCAGCATTTTACACAGAATGAAGACATATCAGGCCAGACCAGTTATACACACAGAGCCATCAACAGTCAGCTGGGTGATAATTATTGTGTTTGAGTCCAGCTGGGACTTGTACAATGGACAAGAGGTAGTTTCAAATAAAAATCAGCCTCTTGAAATTCGTGGCCTGAAGGGACAATTGAAGCCTTAATTTGTTCCAATAAGTGATGAGGTTTCTATAAATACACTGACACCTTGACCTAAAGCCTGGTGCAATGCACTTTTCATCTCCTTCTTCCTCTCAACAGAACAGACTTCAGACATCTGTCTATAATGATCTGTTCTGAAATCTCAACCCACAGACTTCCACCCTCTGTCATATGTCTATTGTACTTGTAACTATATTTCTGTTACACAGTATCTTCCTATTAAATATTGTTATAATGGTAATGTGACAGCGAACATCCTTGTGTAAAAGTAGTTGTCAGTCAAGTCACCATTTCCTCCCAGCCCTAACATGTCTCAAAGTCGCCAGTAAGCTCTCTTCCCTTTTCCTCGAACTCCCACTCAAGGAAAGAAGTTTTCTTTCAGGGTGGAGTATGATAAATATTGAAACATTCCCCTAGTCTCATGACTGATCTCAATTCAGTCTTACACATCTTTGAAGCAGATTGTTTTATTTAATATGTCATATTTTACTCAGCTGTCTTATGACCTAAACTACAGTTTTGTTTGCTGTCTCTCAGATTCTGGATCCCCACCTGTAATGGTTTACCATTACTATCACCTGTCTGTCACAACACTGTGTCTGATCACTGCTCTGTGGTCTCTAAGTCACTGGAGCCCCCTGGAGCCCCATGGTTACCATTACTATCACCTGTCTGTCACAAGACTGTGTCTGACCCACTGCTTCATGGTCTCTAAGTCACTGGAGCCCCATCAATAAGGATTACCATTACCAGCACTTGTCTGTCATGACCCTGTGTCTGATCAACAGTCCCCAAGTCTCTCAGCTTCTGGTGACCTTTCTGTTTGACATGACCCTTTGTCTGACCAACAGTTCCCATGTCTCTCAGCCTCTGGAGCCCTTTCTGTTTAACATGACCCTCTGTCTGACCAACACTTCCCCAGTCTTTCAGCCTCTGGAGCCCTATCTGTCTGTCCTGACCCCATGTCTAACCCAGCTGTAGTCAGCTTTTGTCTCACTGTAACCATTATAGCTAGTACCAACATATTGAACACACCAACCACAAGTTTGTTGTCATTATTAACATTTGATGCTGACAAGTTATCAGAGAGAAATGAAGAGCTAGCGTGCCTGTTGAGCAATTTATCAACCATTGGAAGAAAACAGAAAAGAAATTGAAACATTTTATCATCATTTCCATTGTAATGTATGAATTTCTTTCCATGTTTGAACGCTTTCAAATACAAAGCAGAAATATCAATATATATAAAGGTAGAATAAAAACATCACTGAGATATGGTCTTACAGCCTTAATTTTTCTTCAGCTACTGCTTTACAGATGAGGCCAGGCTGTTTCCCATAACTCAATGACTGTGTAACTGTTCCAAAATGAAGAAAACATGAAAAATATCTTTCTTTAACAAAATATGCAAATTCCAAGTAGAAAAAACACTGCCTTACCTGATATTTAAAGTTTTTGATTTAAATCCAGTGAACGAATATATTGTAAAGGTTATTTAACACAGCTTGTCCAGCTTATAGGCATGAGTTTCATACAGATAGTAAACAAATCTGGTAGTGGGCTAGGATGTATCTCCCTACAAGTTTCCTGTAATTATGTGTGTGACATTTACAATCCCAGAGGCTTTAATGCTGGGACAATACCAAAGTCCCTGTTATTATCCAAGGAACACACTAGTGTAACCAAGCATGAAGGATACCCAGGAGCCAACTTCACATGCACTTGTCACTGAATGCATGTGCATAGATAATTATAGCACAATATAGCTGTCAGTCTGAACACCCTGTGGTGTAGAAATTTACTGACATGTGGTAAATATCACCTAATTTGAGGGGCATTAGCATAATTGATCTCAGGGATTTTACTGTGAAAATGTCATTGAAAACTTTGTAAATTTTATCTGTCAAAGCAGTGAAAACTTGTTTAAAAGTATTTATATTTTTGTTAAAATTTCATGTTTTGTAATCATTATTTCATTTCTTGACAATGTAGGACTTAATTTGGTTAAAAGATTTTCTCTCTAAAGGGGACTCAGCTTTAAGTACTTTATTGCCAATTAAATATTTGATAGTGTTTTGGGTTATAAAGATTATTGATTTTGCCGCATTTTGTAATGAGTTCTTATCAAGACTTGAATTAAAAACATTTTTCATTTTTGTTTTTGTTTTATGATCATGAATATTGCAAAAATCATGGACAAAATTTAAGGCTGTATGCTGTCTAAATGTTTAATGGATTTCTTCGATGAAGAATTTCATGCATCATAGAAGGTGATTTGATTAATCGATGATACTTTACAGACAAATTCTAGAATTTTACCAGACATTGGATGTGAACAGGTGTAGAACACAGCAATGCCTGTGATTGTCATCATTCAATGTTGGACATGCATTGTTTCAGGCAAGTTCTTTCACATTTATAGACTTAAATTTAGACCAATGGGACAGATGTATACATTCACAGACAGATCATATCAGATCTGATGAAGTAATATGTGGAAAATTGATTTTGATTGTCTGGTGTACTGAAGAAAAGGATATTTAAGTCCACAGGGTAAATGCCTTTGTATTTCTATGGACAGGGTATAAATATGTGTTGAAACACAGGCTTGAGTTGGTGTGATAAGCTATTGTCAAATACAGGGTTTGGATGTTTGTTAATTGTCACACTTTCAAGATCTCATTCTAGGTTCTATCATTGCCATGTGTGTATTTTATAACTCTTAAAAGGAAAACCATAAGCACAAAAATCTCAAACCATTATTTGGGAACACCATTTTTACTTAGCTCTTTTATAATAAAAAGGTACATAACTGAAGCAGTTATCTGCTATTAGAGATAAATCATGCTCAGAACTATTTTTCCTTATTGGGAGATGCACTAGTAGTTGACAAGGTTGAGACTGGCAATGCACTAGATTTAGGCTACAGGTAAATGAGTAGGACAAAAGACCAGACACAGGTGAGAGTGCTTGTTAAATTCCCCCATACTCTTTAAATCAACATCCCCATTAGCCTATAGCTAGGTAAGAATATTTCACAAATATTTCAATCAGGGGGAAAATGTAACACAACTTTGAATTTAAATCTCTTGCTAGACAGAAAACTGTGAGTCTTTTGTTACAATGAAGTTGACAATTTCTTGATTAGGAAAGAATTTTCTTTCACTTCATTTAAAGTTGCATGATTATTGATCATTGAAGGATAATTAAGAGGTCAGAAGGTCACAGGAACAATCTGTTTAAAGTCCATTTACAGTAGTGAAGTGATGTAACAAATTGAGTAGTGACAGAGTTACAGGCAATGACCCATGATACTTTGTCAGTATAGGGCTCTTTCAACCACTACCAAGGCCCAGGGTCCTTTTTTGATTTTTGAATCTTTGTTAGCTTCACGACGTAAAACTTCAAATAACATTTTAAAGAGAATTTATCAAAATATTGATTTTTTGGGTTTACAAACTCTGATATGAAGAATTTCTACCGCTAGAGTGGGAGAGAAGTTAACAATTTAATATATATATATAGATATCTTGCATACTCTGCAATAAAAAAGTTCTCAAGGAAGTGTTGAGGGTAAGCTTACAACACAGTGTGTGGCCATCATTTAGATTGCCAGTAGGTCTTCTCTGATTGGAGGAAAAATGACTTAGTTGGTGTAATCGGCCAATTATCAATGGAGTATGAAAACAGCCATGAAATTTCCTAATACCATCCCAGGAATCTGTGAAACTATTAACTGTTCTTGACAGGGTGGCCAAGCTACTAGGCTCAAAATCCAATTAAACAATGTCATTATCATAGATTACAACACTTCAGCACTAAACTGTCAAAGAGTAATTCATTAGAAAGCATTTTAACTTTGTTTTTATTGATTTCAGGATGTATTGAGAATTCCATATTATACAACAATACAGTTCTTGAAATTTCAGCAGTAGTTTTGTTTTCAAGTAAATTAAAATCAAGTAATTAAATTAAATCATACAGAACAAAGTTTTAAAAAGAAAAACACAAAATTGATTTGGCTTAAGGCCCATGTGTGACTGTTACATGTAACGATAACAATAGAAACTGTCAGAAATGCCAGCAATTGCAATTCTAATTTTCTGTGTCATTCTATGTTGAGTATTATGTATGGGCATCAATGCTAATAGCAGTATGAAAAATTTTGAAATATTGTCATTAACTTTTCAATGAAAAATAAAAGAAGAAGATTTAATGTGAGAAAAATGTCTTGGAAAACTTTTGTCAGGTTTTTTCATTGAAAAGTATTCTATTAGATGGAAAATAGAAAAAAAATGAAAAACATGGGTTTATAGAAAATAGGGGGAAAAATAACTCAAAACAACCACGAAGAAAGGTTTTGACTGGAAATACCTCAGTTTAGATAATAAATGGAAAACAAGGATGGGTTTCATGAAATCCTCAGAGATCTTCCTAATAAATGTCTAGTATTTCATCCTTGTTGAAATAGGTGTGATGTTATGATGCAGGAAAAGTGTTGTTCTCAAGAGGATACAAAATTGATTGTGTAGTGTTTGAAGCGTGAGCACGTCTAAGGCTTATATTGACTTGGGAACGCACATATTGACATGAACGAACTGGAGTACTTGTTGTCCATCCTGTATCTGTAGTAAAACATTATTTATTGCACGATTCTCTGACCAAAATAGCTCTTACGTTTTATTTCATATTTCTACTTGTATCCTTTGAAACAATATGCAACTAAAACCAGCAGAAAACTCACACATAATGGTGCTTGCATGTGATCAAATCATACTGAAATTTCTACAACAATGCTGCAGCCTCTAGTGTGGTAAGCGTACAGCTTACAAATCAGTGTACAAAATTTTTCAGTACCTTAACAAAAAATGGAATTCATTATGACATAAAAAGTTGAATTAACAGATAATGATATTTATAAAGCCAGAAAATTTAGAAATACTTGATGTGGCATTATTAAGTAAAATGGTTTCTAAGATTATCGTTTAAGTTGACAAGACTTTGAACAATTGAATGTAGAATAAATATTTCAGATCTGTTTACAATACACCTGATACTAAGAATGTTACTAACAGCTAAAGTTTTGTTAGATGTAAGGTTCAGGCATCATTGAAATGAACTCTCAGAAACCGGAGTTGAAGCCATGAAATAAATCCTTGGCTGATTCTTTTGTTTACTTCTGGTTTAAGTGGAACCACATAGCCAATTTCTATAATGAACCCGCCTCATGATGACGTACACGATTAGTTTTTCACATTTTTCTTTATCTACATGTGGTGTAAACTTTGGCATGTGTTTCTAGTAAATTGACTATATGATATGAACAGAAATTGAGTGTGGTCTCTGGAAATTGTACAGGACTGTGGACACTTGATAAACTTTCAATTCTGTGTATATCCACTAATAAGCCCTTGCCTGCAGATATGTCAGCATACCTATTGTTGTTCATTAACATGTATTTTCAAAGTATACTATTTTATTGTCCCTTAATAAGCCCACCCCAGACTTTTAAGTCAGAGATAATGTGTTGGCTCTGGGCTTACTGTAAAATGAACACATTAATACTTCAACTATTTATTCATTTTAGCAAAATTTATTGCAATACTATATCAAATTTGTGTGTGTGTTGTCAGTGAATTTGAGAAAACTTATACATTTTGAGTTAAGATTGGATGTATCAATTTTATGGTATAGAGTATGAATTTTGAGTTAAGATTGGATGTATGAATTTTACATTATAGATAGCAATTTATTGAATCACCACCCATCAATAAAACTTCAAAAATGCATTGTTAAACAGGTGAGGTGATATATTCAGTGAATTCGTAGGCGTTATATGGCGTTACGAAGAATATACGATTAATTTAATGCAGAGTTACACTGGTAGAATATTAACTAAATGACTAACAGAAATATATTACGTAATCCAAGCCCTTATATAAAGCTCTAGATCCTACTGTTTAAATCAAGTTTGGTAGCCTGTGAAATTCAATGTCTTAAAATATATCTACATTTGAGACAGAATTCTCTCTATAAAGAAAAAAAAACATGTGATCTGTTAGCTTGTCTGACATGAACTAGAAGCTATACACAGTTCTAAGTTTTTTGCTCCTGAAACCCCACAAACTTACTGCACCATGCAAGCTGACAAGCATGTCTTTGTGATTTGAATCTGTAATAGTGTTTGTCACTAAAAATTTGTATAAGTATAAAAAAAAAGTTTTATCATTAAAGTTAGCAAAGCATTAAGTTATTACAGCCCAAAGACTTCTTAATGGGTTGGAAGTGTAGGGGGTAGGGGTTGAGAAGGGGGAGATAGGTGATGGAAGTGTAGGGGGTGGGAGTTGAGAAGGGAGAGATAGGTGATGGAAGTGTAGGGGGTGGGGGTTGAGAAGGGGGAGATAGGTGATGGAAGTGTGGGGGATGGGGGTTGAGAAGGGGGGATAAGTGATGGAAGTGTAGGGAGTGGGGGTTGAGAAGGGGGAGATAG